GATCCTGGCGGGAGGCCCATGTTTGCACTCAGGGAGGTAAATGAACATTAAACTCCCTCCCGGGCAGTCCCGCCGACCAGGCCTGTGTCCTGTAGGGAGCCCCGTGCGGCCCGGCTGACACCCAGGCCTCGGGTGCAGGTTGGAGACCTGAGACCCCCAGGGGAGCCCGGAGTGAAATCGCGGAGGACAACGGCTCCCCCCAAGGGGCCTGACCCTGAAGACGGCAGCGGCTGCATCTGAGGGTCCTGTCCACATTCACCCCCACGCGAGGCGAGTCCCGGGACCCCAGCTGAGAAACCAGCTTCCAAAGGCACCAGCTCCAGCCCTTCACCCGCCCAGCGCGGGCCTGGCAGCCGGCGTCATGTCACCGTTTGGTCACCAGAGGGCGAACGTGCCCTTTGCAGCCGGAGCCCGTCTCCCGCAGGTGCCAGCGCCCGGAGCAGGTGCAGCAGGGCAGTCCCAGGCCCCCCTTCTAGTCACACCTGGGCTTCTGATCACCTGGACCAGGGGTCCTCAAACGACGGCCCGCGGGACACATGCAAATACAAATATTGTATTTGTTCCCGTTTTGTTTTTTTACTTCAAAATAAGATATGTGCAGTGTGCATAGGAATTTGTTCATAGTTTTTTTTTAAACTATAGTCCGGCCCTCCAACGGTCTGAGGGACAGTGGACTGGCCCCCTGTTTAAAAAGTTTGCGGACCCCTGACCTGGACGGTGGCCTGGAGGCCGGGAGGCGCAGGGGCTGGGGCCGCTCTGCTCCGTCCGGAGCGAAAAGCCACCCACAGGCGGGGAACTGCCAGGAGTCCACCCGGCAGGTCGGGGCGGCCGCTGAACCCGGGTCTGCCCAGCCCTCTGGCCACTCAGGTACCATCTCAGGTCTGTCCCAGCCCCACTGCCCGCTCCCCCAGCCCCTCCCTGCCCGGGAGCCTGGAGGGTGTATGCAGGTCACGCTTCCTTTCAACAGGCGCCTCAGACTGCATCTCCCAGCCCGGCTCAGGTTCCTGACCTCAAACTGTCTCATCAAACCAGCCCGAGGCATCTCCAAGCTCCATCTCCAAACCGGAGCGGGTCCGCAGGGACAGGAGACACTGCAGCCTGGCT